CCCCTGTGCACCCATACAGGAGTTTCCACTTAATTAATCTGTCTAATAAGACCTATGCTCATGTTGAAGATAGGTGGAGCTATGCTGGAATTACATGAACTCAAGCAACTTCACACACCAAAGCAGGTGCAACACAACTAATTTGAGTATCATGGAGATGTCAATCAAGCACATGCCCACACTGCCCTGAGAAGAGGTCAAATAACACAAAAGAAGTGAATATTCTCCTGTGTGGGTGCACGGACCTCGGGTTTGTGTGGCCTTTAAATTGGCTCCTGTTCAGATTTTACTTACACTATGTATCTTAAATTAAATCTTCTTCACACTCTGGATCAATCATTTTAAATTAGTTAAAGATAGAATCGCAATTTCAGACAAGAATGAACAAGGCTACCAATAAAGGATTAAGCCCACATCCATTTTCACAAAAGCAACATAAAAACAAACAAATTTTTTATTAATAAATGACAACCCTTGGTGCCATTATACCTTTTCTTTAAATGCCACTGCGACGGGATTCTGCAAACATTCTGCAAACCCAACCTATACATGGTGAGTATTACACATATTAGTTTGGAAAGTGGGTCTGAAAAGTTTGTGGTTGCTGTAGTCAGTTTGGATTTGTAACATTTCTGTTGGATGGAAAAGCTGACCCAGTTTCCTGGTGTAAAAAAGTCAGGATGTCCATAGAAACTTCTCGAACTTCTCAAGCAGCACAATCCGCTTCTGTCCAGCCTTATGCTCGCCATGTTCCAAGCACTCATTTATTATACATCCCCCCCCCCATTACATTCATGGTTCTCAGCATGCCAGTGTCAACAGCATTGTTTATTAAAAAAATACAAGATGCTGAGGTTTTCTAATAAAACCCCCTAAACATAATCACATAACACAAGTAAGTCTAAATAAATAAACATTTTCCCTTTATTCTGTTTGAGTTGTTTATGTCTTTGTTCTTGTCAGGGAAATAAATGCATTCTGTGCTTTGTGGTTTTAGATCTTAGGAGAAAAATCATACATATTCACAGACAGACCCGCAAAATGCGCGCGCGCACGCACACACACACTCACACACACACACACACACACACACAGCAGAGAGCCAGGCTGATTGGATGGTGGATGGCTGGAGTTGTTATTACAGAGCATCCAGCAGAGTCTGGTTTGCAGGATAAGGACGTCCTTACAGGGCATTTCTCAGTGTGAACGATGAGGAAACAGCCCCCTGTGTGTTTGTGTGTGTGTGTGCGTGCATGTGTGTGCATAGAGAGAGAGAGAGATACTCAGAGTGAAAGTTAGAACGAGAGAAGCAGACAGCACATGGACAGATGCCTCTGTCTGCCCACATAGTTTGGCCATCAAACAGAAATCTTGGCAATGCTTGCAAAAAGTGACTTTCCCCATTGGACTAGTTGGTGCCAAGGGCTTGCCTGCAGAGAAAGAAACTGGAGAATAACAGAAGAACTCACAGGGCTTTCCATTCTGATACAGTAATAAACATTTATTTCTGCAAAGACATTGCTATCTTTGGTGTCCATGAACAAGAGTAAGAGGAGGGTCCTTTAAAGCCACAGACATGGAAGTGTAAATAAAGAACGGACACACATGGTTGATTTGTGTGCATTTGCAGCTTCGTTAATGTGCTCTCTTGGTGCCTATTAGTAAATCATTAGGGCTTGATCTAATTCTCACCATTTTATAGTTCATTGACCAAAGAATGCCACCAAACACGATGACACATCACATCATCAAATAATATAAAACTAGACCTGTGCTGGCACAAAGGGAGTGAAGCAGAAAAACACAGGGCATGTTTTCAGGCATGGCAGACCACAACAAGGACTGCTAAGTTCAAAGTCCCAAAGACAGCGGAGGTTTTGGTAAGAATGCCTTAACATTTTCTTGAGAAATCTGCTTTACATACAGTTACACACCTGTCTACTTCTCTGGGAGGTGTTATGGTGGTTAGCGATGGACTTTTCTAGGCTTCCATCTCAGTAATGCAATCTACTCCGTTTCCACAAAGATCCAGGGATCAACTGTTGCAGCAGGGGATGAGAGGGCCCAGCAGTTGCCTCAGACATCCAGGATCAGGAACTCCAAACAAGGATAACACCCTCTCAGCATTCAATGTTTTCAATCAAGGGATCAGCTACTGTGACTGGAAACAAAATGTCCCAGACAACTATCACGTAGGAGTTGCCAGCAGGCAAAAGCTGGCACGACTAATATGGCCTGTCAGAGTGAAAATAGCCTGCTATTGTTCTCACCTTCCGGAAAGGTACAGGCATAACGCTTTTGTCTTGTTCATCTCTCAGGAGTCATGCTCTAATAGCTTTTCAGGCTCATATTGCTTTGGTAAGAGGGATTTAAAGTTGCTGTTTCACTACCCAGAGAGTGTAGTGATGGAGGTTGAGCTATTCATTTACACATAATTCAGCATGAATCAAATTTATACCATCATAAATGTGATAAATACGTGTCTTTAGAATAAATAGCATTTGACGCTTGGATTTGAAAATTATGAAATTGCTTGGTGGGGGATTTATTAAAAATAACTCAAGGTACATGGACTGTTCCTATTACCGCTTGAGTGTTTTCATGGGTTGCCAAGACTGCAGTATTATGAAAATATATTGGACAGAAAAACAGAAATACTAAATAGTGTGACAAGTTTGTCAAGCATTGGTTGTTCGGTTGAACTGTGAGATTTTGGGGGACACATGAGATGTGTTCAATTGCAATAAATTTAACTACTTTCACTCCCAAACTCTTAGGCCTACTTGTGACATAAAGACATCACTTGCTCATGCAAACAATCAAATTCATTGCATAAGAGTGAAATGGTTGCATAAGCTCTAAGTATGGAATTATAAACATCCCACTCACAATTATATGCAGACACCTTGCTGCTTTTTTCTGACTAACAAAATGACATTTTAATGTATTCAAGACTCAAGTCTTCTGAATTACTTTCAGTGGTTTCTCTTCCTTGCACAAATCCTTGGAGTGGTTTTAATAGACGAATACTTGTTACAAAGGTCCTCAGCATCTACAGTAAGCCCTGTACAAAATCTACCCTGCAGGAAAATGTTGCCACCTAAGCCCCTGTAAAACCCAGGGAAAAATCTGGACGTGGACCAGCAGATAGAGCATCGGTGTGGAAACATAAAGAAGAGTTTGATCTCATTTATGCCCTCACTGTTCTGGAGGTGATGAAATGAGGCCGGTCTTGAGCTAGGCGAGGTCAGTCCTCTCCTCTTCTCTCCTCTCCTCACCTCTCCTTTCCACCATTAATCACGTCTCTACACATGAAAATTAGCTTAACCCTTTTTTCCTGTGCAGTGCTCCACTTCCACTAAAGGACACCTTGCAATAGCAGATATAAGTCAGAGCTCCCTGCACATATTTCCGCCTGCATTTCCAACTAATGGACACCCTCCACTCTTAATCCAGCTTGACTTAGTGATGAAAACGTGCTGGCTGGGGCTTTATCCTCTCTTGTTAAGGCTGTCACTCTTCCTTGTGTAGCCTCATAACAATTAACACTTCCAAAAACCCTTTTGTCAAATACTTAACGGAGGGGGGGGGGGACTTATCCAAACCCCCTTGAGTCCAACATAATTTCTCTGACAACTAAACTATGTGAAAGTAGGTTGGTGTGTAATATATTGTATATGCTTATGAAAAAGAGGGGATGGGGAGAAAGAGTGAGAAAATAGCGAGAAAGAAAATGAAGACAACGAGGGAGGGAAAGAAAGAGAAGTAGGTAGAGAATGAGTAAGGAAGAGAGAGGAAGGGAAAAAGAAAATGAGCTTGGTTCCCTTTGTGGCACAGTGCTTCACCACTTAATCATCCCATGGTCTATAAATAGGCCTTCACAGCCATGGAATATTTGGAGATTAATGAAAGAGAATGGAACACCATAATGCTCTGAAGCTTCACCACTTCTATTGCACTTCAGTAGTGCAGATTTAATTTTGCTTCCCCAATGATGGCAGAATTTCTCCTCTTCAGTTTTCATCATAAAAGTTCACCAGATTGCATCCAGTTGACTCCTCCCTCCTCCTCCTCCTCCTCTCTGTCTTTTAACATTTTGCCTACTTCAACTTCACAGTCTTACTGAAAGACACACATGCATATTCAAAGATAAATGGCAGCAATCTATACAGTATATAGAAATGCAGAAATATTGATGCAGTGCAAGCACGTGAGCAATAACAAAACATCCAAAGAACACAACAGTTTCACACGGCAGACAGTGAGAAAGTTTTCTCTCCTCATTTTACATTCTGTACGATGCACTGCAGAGTTTCTTTTCAGCACCTATCACAAATGTTGACAGTGTTGATGTAGTAGGAATCACCTTGTATCTACCCACTCCCCTCACTATGTGTGTGTATATATATGTGGCTCCGTGCATATGTGTGTACATTCAGGGGTTTGACAGAGTTTGTGTGGGCATAGGCTCATATCAGGAGCATTTCACATTTAGCATTTGAGGAAAACATGGCGGAGGTGTGATTTAGGTCAGAGAGAAGGGAGGTGGTTGTAAGAACACTAAACCTGCACTGAATACAGAAATTATTAATTTTATAAATAAAAAGGAAGTTATAGGTTGAGAAAGAAAGATCCATCCACCTTTCCAGAAAATGGTGACAAAACAAAACCAATTGCGGCTGTTATGATGGTGCTTGTAAGTGGATACATTCGCTTGAATAGAACAGAACAACCGTGACTGTTACTAGTAACACCATTTCTTATCATACAAGCTGTGAAAAAGGCCTACTTTCATTAGGCACAGTAAAAACCAAAATATAAAGAAAAGGCAGGCTAAAGCAATAAGAATTAGAATGTCCTCTCTCCTTTGTAGAGTTTGTTCTGGCTTAATTACTGCATGGACATCCAAACCAAACCTTGTAGCCACGACACATGCCAGATTTCAGTTTTGGGGAAAATGACTGCCTGAGTTGGACTGTAGCTGATAAATTAATCCAAGCGGCTAGCAAGTCAAGCAATAAGCTTGTATTGAAAGCAATTTATTTTTGTTGAGGTACATTGCTAATACCATAAATGATTGTTTAACTATGACAAACCATGAAATACTGTACATGACGTCAGATGAAAACAAAGTTGCCCCTTCTATTCTCATCTTGTTCTCAATGTCATTTTGTAATGTTAGGCTTAGACTTTTCAAATGTTCAATATCCAATGACAGTAAAAGAAAAGAATCATAAATAAGCTATAACCAATACATTGTGTTAGTCATGTTTCTCACTCCTCAGGACACAAAGGCTGTGTTTTCTTAGTCAGAACTATTAGCACAAGAATAAAGTAATGCTCAGTTTAAAACTTTAAGACATTATGTTCCTATTAGCCAGTTTCCTCATGGGGCTCATTAAATTTTCATTTGATCTAATGTAAATGTACATCGACAAAGTTTCCATTCACTGCAGTAGCTCCAGGCAGTACATCTTGATCATTTGGAAACTTTGGGGAAGTGGTGTTAATGTTGAGAAGTAATGATTGATTGGTGGGTTGTTGGTATTAAAACTACTTCATGTAAACTTTTATATGCTTTCCCTATAAGGCAATTTATGCATGGAATGTTTCCTGTGTGTTGATGGCTGGGTTCATTGTGCCACAGGTAACAGCCTCAATGGACAGAGGATAAGCACAAATTTCTCCTGGGTTTTCTGCCTCCAGATTGGTCCCAGTCTCCTGTTCCACTGGGATCGTCCCTGTCATACTACTTGGTCTAGCACATTGCAAGAAGGAATAAAAAAAGATGTAGGATGATTGGTGGGACACTGTGGAGCCAAAGAACCTTTCTAAATGAATGCTTACGCACAAGAACAATAAAAAAGAAGTGGAAATCCTCTTTGCATTAGCAGCTTAACACTGCACGTGTACAATGTGCTCACGCAGTACCTCCTCTCCGCCACTGAAAGGGGGATGGCAGCTGAAACGAACACGATAATTACATTACACTTCTTCTTGGATTGGTCCTTGCTTTTGCAGATGAATCCCGCTGTTGTGTCACTTCTGAAACCGATGTAATGGATGCATCCACTTGAGTGTTTGGAATTCGTAGCCATGCTAGTGGCAAGGCTCTAGGGATGAGTAATGGTTTGTACAATCATGTCTCTGTCAGGATGAAGTGTAATCACATTCAGGATCCCCTGACTTTTAATCTAGCGCCATCATCAGGTCAAAATTAAACTTTGGTTTATGACCAAATACTTGGAAAACTACTTAACATTCCCATCTGCTTCTGCTGCACATTGTGTTTGGTGCTTTTAATAGGTTGTCAGATAAATAAATTGTTTTGCTGAGACTGTTGTGTTTTCCTGATGCTCACTAGTACGTCAAGTACATGGCAGATCAATGAACTAAAAGAGAGTTTGAAAAGTGGAAACAACACTATCAGTAGAATATAATATGAATCATTACATAAAATGCATTCTAATATATATACTCAAACAGTACTTAAATATAAATCACATTGCCTTCTGCAGGCCTCAACTGGTTTAGGGCAGATCCGTCCTGGATTCTCTTTATGAAGATTGTAGAGGGTTTCCCAGTCTCCACTTCCAGTCAATCCAGTCTGTCCAGCATCAGTGATGGTGTTTAAATTGAGATAAGTAAGCATCAAGACATTTGAAATATTATTGTTATTGCACATGTTGTGATTTGATCTAGATGACAAACATTTAAAAAATAGATATAAATGCAATAATGGATGCAAAGTTAATGGAAAAAGAAAAAGGTGTAATCTTCTTCCGAATGTGAGTGGGATAGTAGGGTAATCCTGAACAGAAATCCAAACAATGGGTGTCAGACATTTCTAGTGAGCCACTGAATGGTTTAGATTGTATTTTAATGTCAGGATAACCACTGAAAGGAGTCTCTATAACCCGGATTCACTGGAAGGAGGGGGAGTGAAAGACCTGCTTTTGTGTTACTGACAAATAAAAAATAATAATTCAAGTCCATTATTTTACTCCCTTACACACTCTTCAATAATCTAATAGAAAAAACATTGGCACTTTAAAAACACAACTGTTAAGGTGTTACAGAACTTGACTTAATATTAAATTGATTGTCAGATCGGCAGACAGACATATGGGGGCTAAAACATTCAAAATCCCAGAATTTTCAGACTGAACACACCGTTCAACTTTTTTTTTACTGAAACTATGATGATTATGAACATTTACAAGTGGAGCAGTTACCCCCTTGTCCTTTAGTGAACAGTGGGTGAGAGCTGAAACTGCACAGCTGTAGCGAATGCCATAATCCAGACAGAAATTTGGCTGCCTCTTGCAGTTAAAGGCAGCTGTCATGCTATCTCTGCAATTATAAAAGGATAATTCAGGTGCAAGTGCCTGATAGGAATTAGTGCATAGCACCTGTACTCCGAGTTAGTAACAGCATCACAGTTATTTTAGAAGGTGTTTACTGTAGGTGTTGTGGTTATATAAGGTGGATAATTTGCCTCATAGTAACAGAACATCTTGGGTACATCAAGACTCATTCTGTTTGAGAGGTTCAACTAAACTTGTTTTGTAAAGTTCTTCCTGGGTTTTACTTTCAAACACTGACAATGACCCATCCATGTCATTTTGGCCACAAATTATCACCAAATAAAGTTGAGAGGGCGAACATGTTAGCAAATAACGTGCAGACACAATGCAACATTAGCAGTCCTTTGGAGTTATGTCTCTTGTCACCTGACTTCAATTTAATATTCACTTTCCTTTTAGGTATGTTTTGCTTTCCACCAGCTCCTGAGTGAAATACCTTTAGCAGCTAAATGCGCCACTATGGTCACCAGCTAGCAGCTAACATACAGTGGGGTTTTCAGAGCTTTTTCACTGAAAACAACTGCAGTGAGATGAACCAAAACAGTAATTCTAAAATTTGTTACAAAGTTGCCTCGGACTACAGGTGCAGGACTCGTGAACAATGTTTATTTTTTAGGAAACTTCTGATGAGCTTGCCGTTACTCCCTCCCTCCATTACCAACAACCTGCCTACGTAACATGTAGCATCTGCTGCGCGCGGGCGCACGTGAGAGAGGACAACAAACACCGCAGCCGCTGTGCCATTCATCGTAAACTTTGGCTTTAAAACTTCATACAACAAGACCCAACAACAAAGAAGCGCTGAACGCAAATAGGTTAGTAACCTGTGGTGAGTAAACACCACCAGCTCAGCATTGGCCATCTAACGTTAGCTTGCTTCTTGCTTTATCTACTACCTACTGCAGGTTATTCCGACTGTCGTTCGTTATGAAAAGATGAATGAGCATTTGTTTGCTTGCTAAACTTGTGGTAGTCGATTAACGTAATCATTACGTCCCGCTGGCTGCCATCACGTTAATTATTACCATTGGCTAGAAAGAGGTTACAGGTTTATTGTTGACCATGTAACTTTACAGTTTTATTTAGCTAACTTTACACTGGGTTTGAGAGTCAATAAGGTTTGTTGACTTACAGTATAGTTTATAAGCTTATAATAAGCCATTAATTGTAGACCCATTGTACCAGAGGTGTGGACTCCCAAAAATTATGACTTTAGACTTGACCTGACAAAATCAAAGAAGACTTGCGACTCGACTTTGACTTTAACACCAATGACTCGTGACTTCACTTGGACTTGAGCCTTTTGAGCTGACTTGACACTCCCCATGCCCAAATATAAATTATGATATAAAAAACTGCGCAGCGCATCAACATAGCGCGGTGCCTAGTTAGACTGGAGCGTGTGGCTTCCTCCAGCAAGAGGAACAATCACCGACCGTCCAAAGCGCGGCCATACATGAACATTTAATTTAATTCATGAAATTATAGAACATCTTTAGTGTGAAACTGCACCTCTGCCATCTCTGCACATGTAGGCCTAAATACTGTTTCATCTCGTGTCGTGCACAGACCTGGCACGTTGCACTTATTTGTTGTTGATTGTTTATCTTTGTTGTTGTATATTTTTGTACACCTTATCACCACAGCAAATTCCTCATATGTGTAAAACACTACTTGGCAATAAAGCTTCTTCTGATTCTGATTCTGTACGGGCTAAAGCTTCATTCAATACATTTTTTTTATTTTCATATCTTATAAAAACTTTTGAAATGGTTTTTAAATTTGGTGAAGAGCGCATTATGACTTGTTTAGGACTCGAAACTCAAAGTTTAAGACTTGGACTTGACTTGGACTTGTTGGTCCTTGACTTGAGACTTGACTCGGACTTGCCAGTCATGATCAGTCTGTACTTGAGACTTGACTCGGACTTGCCAGTCTGTACTTGAGACTTGACTTGGGACTTGAGTGCTAAGACTTGAGACTTGACTTGGACTTGTAAAACGATGACTTGGTCCCACCTCTACATTGTACATTAGGCTACATGGTTGTGCTCTGTAAGTTAAAAACAGGTCACAGGTTTATTGTTGATTATGCAATGTCACGGTTTTATTTAGTTAATGTTACACTGGGTTTAAGAGTCTGGGGAGTGTGTTGACTTACAGTATTTAATAAGCCGTCAATAATTGCATTGTACATTACATGGTTGTGCCCCGTAAATGAAAAACAGGTTACAGTTACAGTGTTCCTTATAGCTATGCAGTTTTATAAGCAACCTGGATTGAACTCAGCAGGTGATATAACATTCGTAATAACCACGAGAGACTTGAGACTTGACTTAGACTCTAGCTCAAAGACTTGAGACTTGACTTGGACTCTAGCTCAAAGACTTGTGAGCATCTCTGCCCTTTTCACATTAAATGTAATTATTGAAATTATGCTTTTATCTGAATAGGCTGGAGGTCAGTGCTACTTGTATGCTGTGAAGAATGGAGCCAAACCCTTAACAAGCAAAACAATTTAAAAAGTCATGGGTAATTTCTTTTGAAAGTGAGTTGGAAAGAAATAAGAAGATTTCATATAAATCCACATCCCATAATTAGGTCAATATCAGAAAGACAAGATGCCTTGTGTCAAAATACTACAATTAATCTGTAAGTGTTTTTGCAAAGAGGCCCAAAACTCTGTTGGTTCCTAGACCACCTCTTCTAGTATTCTAACATCAGTACACTACATTGACTTGTCTGCATTTCGTTTTGTTACACATACAAGACCAGAGAATGGCTGCCCTTTTTCAATGTCCATCCTCTGCTGTGGTTGTGTGTACGCTAATTAATTGCCCTTTGAGAAGAATAGCTACCTCCCTCTGTTCAATAGCAGCTGGGGATAGTCTCTGTCTATTCATTCATCAGCATTAAACTTTGTCATCTGAAGGGGCCGGCGTAATATTTTACACTAAATTGTGCTTTGGACTGGATGCCAAAGTACAAATGACAGCATGGTGTAGACTCATTTATCATCCCCCCCAAACATACACACACCTCTCTCTATGTCTCTACCACCACACACCCCTCTCTCCCTCTTTCTCTGTCTCCATGGAAATCATTGGTGTCTCCATCCTCCTGTGGCGAAGGAGCTGACTGCAGACTTTCTGTTGACCATCAGCCCCATTTACCCTGATGGAGCACTGAGAAAACACCATGTTTAGGTGGCATCTTGAATACAAACACACTTTCTTGTTCATCCATCTTTAAGAGAGCTTTCCACTGACCCAATGACTGCATTAATCTCACAACATCAAAGTGGCGTATATCTAATGCCAGACACATTCATTATGCAGCTCTGTCTCCTTAAATTACGTTCACATACAACTAATTTGCATTAGCAGTTAATGTTCGTCTGTAACACTCAGCACCAATCAATGCAGGAAGCAGAGTGATGGTCATAAAGAGGAACAATCTGTAAGGATGTGGAGATCAGTTAAAGGATTGGTGTATCCCTTGTGCACAATCTTTATCTTAATCACAATGACAGGGATAATTGTAAGTAATTTAAAGAAAAGCATGTACATGAAACGAATATAATTGATTATGCTTGAGCGCACCACAAATCCAGCTACTGCCCATACAGCCAATGGGAAGGAGTGGCGTTGCCTGGAATGAGTGCCTGGAACTAGTCCACATTGTAGCGTTTCTGTGTAAGCGCTGTCATCGCTACCAGCTACAGGTGGTACTGGAAGCTGCAGTGATGTTGATAGGTATAGGTATAGATATGCAGAGCAGAGAGGATATGCTGTAGACAGTGAAGATTACTCGAGTTGAAAGCCCCTACGTTGTTACTGTAAGTAGGCTTAAGTGCAATAAAACCATCACGAGTAAAAAGCCAATAATGAATCAATACACTTGTAAACATGTAAACCTGTATAAAGTCTATATAGTGGGCCTATAGAGTATATAGTGACTTTGTTTTTGTGAACAGTATTGTTGCTGCTCTAGAAAGAAAAGTTTGTTATATTTAAAATATTCAACTCTAATCCTGTTCTGAATTTAGTCTAGTTAATGGCCATTCATGTGTTTTTTGTTGTTGTTGGGCAGGAGAGGAAAGGAAACAATGCACTAGAGAGGAGAGGAAAGCAGGAGAGGAGACAGCATGAGCACCTCATAGCAGAGAATAGTAGGAGTACATGGTTTTGGAAGCTGAACAAGCAGCGTCATCAAGAAAATGATCAGTAGACGTAAGTAATCTTTAGAAAGTAACTTTAGTGAGATATGTTTTATGCAAAATCAAGAATATGAGTTTGAGAGTGTCCACCCCAGTACACCCCACCTTCAATTATCACAGTAATCTTAGACTCAACTCATAAACATGAATGCCTGAATAACTGTTTAGAAAAGAACGGACCTTGACCACACTCACAAAATGTCTTTACTGCAGAGGTCTGAAATGTAAGCAGGTCCCCATTATACTAAACCTGAAAGCACAGCACACCGTTGTATTTATATATTTATTACTGAATAACTCAGCGCCTTCAGTGCTGAAAGCATGAAAGAGAGGCACAAGGCCATTTGTGATGGCTCACATCTGAAATGTTCCTGCACTCTATGGGATATTATGGTATGACTGCTGTATGTGTATGTGACCTTTCAATGCTCCATACTCACCTCTAATGAAACAGGCAGTTTCGGAGGTCGTAACCCTAACCATAGCATTAGTGAATCACTTTTGCAATTGGCTTGCACTA